GGAGCAGCCCCTGGGCTTCAGTCCCCAATCTCTCAGTCATCAAAATAAGCTGAGAACAACACCTTACTGAGTGGGGAAACAAACAAGTTTATTTTTTAATGACCCAGACTAGAATACCAAGGCCTTGCTGTGTCCGGTTCACATATCTGCAGGACTACAGTTTCTCCACCCAATACCCCTTCAATCAATGGACTGGAAAACACAATATTTGGAACTAAAGCCGACACAGAAGAACTGACTTTGGTGTCCCAAGACAAAACAGAACGACTTGCTTGCACCCCACACCGAACGAAAACGAACTCGTGGAAAACCTCATTAACAACAACAACAACAACAACAACAACACGGGTCGAAACACAGGAATATGTTACGTTTCTGAACGGAACAAAACAAGAACAAAGACGAGTTCAACAAGAAAATGCAAGCGGGACCATTTTTAACACCCGTTTGTTCGAACTCCGTAAGGCAACCAGCTGAAAGATATGGGCAGAACAAATTTAACAGAAAAGGCGCGAGATGCCACTGAGAGAGAACAGAACATTTTCGAAAAGCAATCAGGTCATGCCCTAGGCCGGAGAACGTCCTGTCAGCTGGCTACTCCTCCCTCTAAGTAAGTGGAAAGGGGGTGAGGTCCAGGCTCAGAATATGGCTGCACATGCCGCCATCGAACTGCAAGGGAAAGGCAAGATCCTCTCAGAACAGGAGCGAGGGCTGGGGGGGTCAGGGGTCAGGGGTCAGGGAGGGCGCCCTTACCTCCGGGTACACCCCCAGCAGGGAGTCGGCCTGGGAGTAGAACTCCTCCTTCAGGGAGATGACGATCATCTGGAAGTCCTCCCTGGACTGCTCTCTGATGTAGCTGGTGACCTGCGGGGGGGGGGAAGGGACACCGGCACACATGAGGATCTCACAGCGCGTTCCGCTGCCCCCTGCTGGGAGGCCGCGAGAGCGCACCCCGGCGGCTGTTGCTCTTCAGCAGCGGTTGTTGATTTATTCCGCTAGTCCTGTAGGTCTCCGGGCGGCTTGGCGGCGCTGCACTGCTGCCTCGCGGCACTGGGGCCCTGGGGTGCCGTCTGTGTGGAGTTTGCATGGGTTTCCTCCCACCGTCCGAATGCATGCTGGGAGGTGGACTGGCTTTTGGGTAAAATAGGCCCTGGTGTGAGTGGCTGTGTGTGTGTGAGTGTGTGAGTCCTGTGATGGACTGGTGTCCTGCCCAGGGTGTACCCTGCCTTGAACCCATTGCTCGCTGGGATAGACTCCAGCTCCCCCCCAGACCCTGAATTTGGATGAAGCGGTCAGAAAACGGACGGATAGATGGAAACCAGTGAAAGATTCTGCTGAAAAGCTCCTTACCTTCCCAATGTTGGTGTTGTCCAGAGCAGCATCAACTTCATCCATGACAAAGAAGGGAGCAGGTCGGTAGCTGCGCAAATCCCCAGATGACGACACATGAAGCGAAAGAACATATAATAATAATAAAAACACTTATACAGCACGCCACTCAGAGAATCCCACAACCCCCACCAGTGTGCAGCCCCACCTGGATGATGCTCCAGTCCTCTCACACACACCAGCCCTCAGTGGGGAGGAGAGCAGAGGGATGGAGCCAGTTCAGAGACAGGGATCATCAGGAGGCCAAGATTAGGCCAGGACACCTGGATTTATACCCCTACTCTTTTTGAGAAATTCCTTTGGATGTCGGGGGAATGACAGCACTGTCCAGGGCGTACCTGGCCTGGTGCTCCCTTACTATGACCCTGAATTGCAGCCATACTCTACACATGTAAGGAGATGCCAAGGTTCCACACACATCTTTGACAAGAAGACAGTGTCTGGGTTGTCTTTTTGGCAGTGGGGGAAGGGGGAGAAAAAAACCGAAAATACCTCTGAAAGCGGAAAGATCTGAGAGGCGGGTCCGACTCTACCTGTTGACAGCGAAGACCAGGGCCAGGGCAGCGATGGACTTCTCTCCCCCCGACAGGTTGTCCATGGGCATGAAGCGCTTGCCCGGGGAGACGCAGTTGTAGTTGATGCCCTCGAGGTAGGGCTCCTCGGGGTTCTCGGGGCTGAGGAAAGCCTGGCCCGACGGACAGGGACCACGCGGTTAAGACGTATACAACGGGGGCAGGTCACCGATCCGCGCGGCTTTCGCAGCCGGGCGACGGGGGCCATAGGAGACGCCGGAGCGCGTGCTCTGGAGCTGCCCCCTTCGCCGAAGCGGCGAGGGGCAGAAACGGACAAACACTCTGCAACCCCCAGGCAGCGGGAGCGGTGCTCAGTTACCAGCGCACCCTGCTGGGGCTGGACGTCAGGTGACTGATCAGGTGACTGTCCATTATCAGTCCGGGACCGGGACCGGACTGGACAAGGGGACGGCGGTAGTCGCTTTGGCCGCTGGTGTCCCCAGTAAAACTGCGGAAGGCGAGGAACACTCTTATTCAGGCACAACGCAGAGAGGGAGCCGGAGGAGAGGGTCCTTGCGGATCTCAGAGGGACGGAGAAGCTCGACGTCGGCAGATGGGGCTTCTCTGCGGCGAGGGGGCGCCGGGAGGGACTGTGGGCCCTATACAGGGACTAAAGAGGAAACCCCTGTTCCCTGAGCTCCTGCGGAGGACCGGACGGCCGCCGTCTCAGAGTTGGGACAGGGACGTGGCATGGAGAACAGCAAGTGGCAGGGCCTGGAGGGACTCTTTCATTGGTGCAGGTCCTCTTGCACTGACTGATAACGGACAGTCACCTGATTCAGAAACCTTTTAATCGCTTAGAGTGGGATCTATTACTAGAACCGGTATTGCGAGATGTTTTCTGTGAAATAAAGTTGATTTGGATAGAAAAAAACAGTGTCGATGTTACGTATAGAGGTTCTAGTAGGGAGCTGTGTCAGCATGCAGTCGGGTGTCTCCACCACTCTTTGACATTTTTAAAGCTCACTTAAAAACCTTCTGCCGTGGGCTTTTAAGGTGTTGCGATCTGGTTTTACTCTTCCGACACCTGAAGAAGGCTCCACAGCCTTCTTCTCCTCTTTTCTTCTCCTTTCAGCCCGGAATAAACCTTTCACGTGTTCCTGTATTACGTACGGTATAACCCTCACCCAAGACCTCATTTCATTCTGTGAAAGACGACAATGCAACGTTTTTGTGCGGCTCGTTAGCTGTTCGTTTGTTGTGTTTTGACATTTATTTCCACAGGTAACCTCCCATCTATGTTGTCATAATGTAAGAAGTGCATCACATATAAAAACAACTGTAGAATGAAAGACGAGGGCAGGATGTTGCTTTGTTATTTAGTAGAAGTTCTTATCTGTAAACCCGTTCATCGACAGAGAGTTTTTTTTGTAAAATGCAGTCTAAGATCCCCAGTTAATTCGCCAGTGTCAGGCGAGAGGAAGACAAACCCCACCAGACGCTAAGCGAGGCTGGGTCCGGTGACCTCCCAGACGAGACACCTCCGAGCGACTGCTCTGTAGAACGGCGTCTCCTCACCTGGGCGCTGGTGTTGCGACACAGCCTTTTGTAGATCTGATCGATGGCGACGCAGACGTGCTCGAAGCACTGGCTGAAGAGTTGGTACCGCCGGGCTTTCACCTGCTCGAACTCCAGACGGGCCTTGTTCGCCGCTCTCCTGCTGGCCTCAAACTCTTATCAGATAGATAAGATACTTTATTGATCCCGTGAGGGAAACTGCAGTGCAATACAGCCACAGTGTAACGAATGGTACAATAATACAACACATACAATACAATCAATACAGTGAGAAGTGCAAGAAGAGTTACAGTCACAGTCCAGAACACACAAAGAACAAACCAGAACAGAACAGTGCATATAAAAGTCGTATTGCACAATATGACTATAAATATAAATGTATTGCACGGGTCCCTGGCATATATTGCACAAAAACGGTTGTAAACGGGAAAGGAAAAAGAACAGATGTATCAGTTTACTGTTCAGTCCAGAAACAGGTCACTGTCAATGTTGCCTTTGCCCAGATGCAAGGTGGATGCGTTGTACAGTCTTGTGGGAGAAGGCAGGAAAGCAAGAAAACAAAACAAAAGCACAAGGCGTGCAAGAGCAAGCCTTCAGCCACAAAACCGAAATACCCACAGCGCACTGCCAGTCAGCGGATATTTTAGAATTATCCAGGTTACATTTCGCTGAGAACATCAGGCGGGTTGCAAAGGAGTGGAGACCGTCTGGATGCTTTTCAACAACACCGTCGATAGAAAATCGAAATATCACAGCTGGACATAAATGTACATAACTGTGTTATGGCTCAAGTGTAAAAAGTAGACTTTCGGGTCAACTGGCCAGCCCCCTGTGCCTTTAGAGCAGATCCACTGTGAGACTGGAGGTCTTACGCACTACTGAGCTGGACTGCGAGGAGAAAGATCTTTGCGTATGAAAACTTTCAGGCCCTCCCCTTAGCGGCCTACATTGTCCCGAGAGTAAAGACCACTAACATCCCGCACTGTAGGAGGAGTCCAAACCGTTTTAGGTACCCGGGGATCTTCCTTGTTACCGTCCCAGGTTTCTGTACTTCGAGTACTCTTTGAGCGCAGAGAGCTTGAGCGCCCAGTGCTCAGCTCTGTGAGACACGGCGAGGAAGAAAGGGGAAGAACTGGACGGGAGAGAGAGGGAGGGGACAGAGCCGCCGGCGCCGCCGCCGCCGCTATCGGCAAGCGGGCGTCTGAGCTGCTCGTACCGTGGGCGACTTCCTGGAACTTCTCCTGCACCCTGCACATCTTCTCCAGCACCTTCAGATTGGGAGCGGTGGACCTCTTGAGGACGTCCTCCTGGGCCCGGGCCGCCTGCTCCAGCCTCTCCAGCTGCGCCTGAATCTCCTTCCCGTCTTCCAGCCCCTGTGGGGAACCCAGCGGCTGAGGG